CGCCAACTCTTCGGCTACTGAATAGTGGGATTGACCGTCACATTATAACGCCCTCACGGCTGAAAGGGCGAGCATGCTTGATGTAACGGGGATTCAAGCCCGTGACATTCAGATTGCGAGTCGAACGCCCTAACCACCTGGCCATAGCGCTCGGGTTATAGGGTTTTTATTCATTTCTACACACAAGCATATACACAGAAATCTGCAAAATGCCATTAATATGTTGCATATGTAGAGTGTTGTCCTTTTGAAAAAATACCTTGAGTTTAGCGTTTATCGAGTATTTATTTTTAGACGTTAAGTATTAGATTCGATTTTCTCATTATAAACACGGAGATTAGTTAATACGATGTAATCAAATTCTAATTTGATAAGAATGAGAGTCAACAGGTCAAAATTTTATCTCCGATTACAAACATACTAATAAAACACAACCTGGGATGAAACACTATCCTAAAATTAAAAAAAATTGATACAAAGAAAGTTTTGAATTTCTTAAACTCTTTGTATCGAGTGATGTTGGATGTGAAATTCGTGGTTTGATAAACATGGAATTATAAAAAAAAGGGATAAATTAAATAATTTTTTTGTTCCCTGAGTTTTAAATTCTGTATTATATATATATTTCTACTCCAAATCCATATTTTGTTCTACCAAGTTATCACCAGAGGGCTCTATCAAAGGATATGACGTAACACTTATCACATTTTTGTTTGTTTGTTAAATCTTGCACAAAGCTACTATAGGGCTATCTGTGTTAGCCATCTCTAATTTTGACTAGAAGGAACCAACACTACCAACCGCCAGTTTTTAGTTTACTCTTTACCAACACTATAACGTCCTCGCGGCTGAAAGGACGAGCATGTTCAGTGACAAGATTAGATCCTGCGACCCGCAGTTTGAGAGCCGAATTGCCCTAACCACAAGGCCATGCCTGGGCCAAACTTCTGTTATAAAAATATTTGTGTAATTACACATATTATGACACATAATTAATCCTTCATCACAAAAGTCGAACATCTGGTAGAAAGACCACTCAATGTTTACACTGTATCATTGAATTCTATTACAACTTTGTATGAACTAACAAGAAATATGCATTATGACACATAATTAATCCTTCATCACAAAAGTCGAACATCTGGTACAAAGACCACTCAATGTATACACTGTATCATTGAATTCTATTACAACTTTGTATGAACTAACAAGAAATATGCATTATGACTAAGAACAGACTTTCTTCATCGTTTGATTCAATTCATGCTGCAGGAACAAGATGTTTACATATGGAAGCCCATTTTACATTTAATACTGTAATACACTAACACACACAAAAAAACAACGATTATAACTGGACGGTACATTTTTATTCTAGTTATTTTGCACTATATGTAGTACAACCATCTAATATGAAAAATGTTTGGGAAATTATAAACATTGTTCTTATTTATTCTACAATAATAAGGGGCTATTTTCTATCCTACAGTAACAAGGGGCTATAGGTACATCATTCATACATTGTATTTTGTTTATTCTACAATAATAAGGGGCTATAGGTACATCATTCATACGTTGTTTTTATTTATTCTACGATAATAAGGGGCTATTTTTTATCCTACAGTAACAAGGAGCTATAGGTACATCATTCATACGATGGTTTCCTAATAATACATAAGTGCTTTAATCTAATCTGTGTAACGTAGTATTTTATTTTGTCTTCAGCTGGGCTTTCAGATAAGTTAAAATTAGGCCAAAAAACGCTGATTAGGTTACCCTACCTCTACCTTGTTTAAGTGATATTTGTTGTGGATAAAAATAATGCTAGTGTTAGCCATTGGTACTCGTTTTCATTAATTCGTAATCAGTTACAATCGTAAATCTTCAATTCGAGAAGAGATAATAAATAATGCTGTACGTACAGAGTTTTATTTTGTATTGTGTCTGGCAACAACGTGCTCTAATGTCGTTGTAATTTTATTTTGTGTATTAGAACATCACATTTGTTTGTTTTAACATTTGCAGCTTCCACTGTTCGCCGCCAAATTTATCTGGTCTTTGAATAGGATTGTGACTCCGGATTCTGAAGTAAAATGGACATTTTAAAATCTTCAGGGAACACGGGTGGTCTCACCGAAGGTATATTTCTTTTAAATATTTTCACGTCTTCATAAACAAAATTTCAGGTCCAGGAATTGATAACCTAAGTTGCTGTTATTTAATGTTTTTTTTTTGGCTTATTTGTACGTTAACTAACCTATATCCTTGTTTTTTTTATGAAAGTTCGTTTATGAAAAACATCTTACGTTCCAGATTTATTTACTTAATAAGCGATTAAATTAGCTTGAATAATTAGAGTGTTACTAAATACATTACAATTTCACATATCCTGCTGGACTGGAAATAGAAAACACTGCCATATTTGATAAGCAAAAAAATACTTGGAGTTACATTAACATAAGCTAAGGTTCTGTTAAGACAACTATTTTTTTATGAGACTAGAGAATCTTACTTTCAAGTTTGTGGACTTCGTTCACGTAACAGTGATTTTCTTTTATTGTTATGCAACACTTGCGATAATCTTAGATTTTACAGAATATGTAATAAGTTGGATTTTTTTTTCTACTCAATATTCAACAATGTAATTTATTTAATTGTTTAAAACTATTTAATAATAACTATTATCAAATGTTACTCAAACTAAACAAACTCAATGACATTAAAGAAGTTTTATATAAAACTGCCGAAAGTTGACGTATACATATTGTTGGGTCAGCGAGATCACGTGACTATTGCCACGCCACCTGCTTTCTAGAACTATCCCGTTCCTTCGGGAGTGCGCTAGCATTTACTAGATTGGGGGTGGGCTGGTATATATAAGAGGGTGACAACGTGACGGAACAATATGTGTGTGTGTAGACAGTGAGCAATTGATCTGCAGTCAGAGAGTATTATTGAGCACGTTCCTTGTTATAGCGTTTGTTTTAGCGCAATTGTTGAAGTTAAGTGTATCGGTAAACTTATATTCGGAAAGAATAAACCAGTTTTATTAAGTAAGGACTTGTGTCGCTAAAGTTTCGTCGGAACGAATTTACTGAAAGTTAATTAACAAACGGAGACGTAACAATATATAAATATATATATAATAACATACGTTTATCTAATTACACCATGACTGTTTAGGCACGAACCACGTGTCCAGCTTATCTTTGTTATCAAGCACATGCACACTGGATAACTTTCTTATATATTTATTTTCATACATGCACCTGAATCGGTTTTTTCACGTTCGTTTGAGTGTGGATTGGGTAATGTTTTCAGCCGCGGCATAGCGGCTCGTAGATTGGCTCTGAGTTTGTTTGTTTTTTCAAGTATAAATTTTTAGCTCATTGCTCTATCTCTTAACCGATTTGAGACCTAATTACAGCCGCGGCAAATGAGGGTTCCCTTTTGTTTATGAGTGCTTTCTGGTGTTTGAAGGAAACATCAAGAGCAACTACCATCTCATAACTGGACGAGTGCGACAAACGTTTGTTTTAGATGTTAGACCTCATGATTTTGACCACTCATATTGTCTGCTCCTAATGACATTTCACTACATACTTGGCTAACAAATAGAGGTGTATGGGTACTACTACTACTTCTTGGAGTTTGGGCCTTAAATATATTTATTTGTTTGTTTCACATGTTTTTTGCGAAGTGCATTTTGGTTTTGACGATGTTTTCTGAAAAGTTGTTTTAAATTTTATAATATTATCCAAGTAGTGCTTCAATTACAACCACCTTTTTATAAAAATAAGTGATTGAAGTATAGAAACAATTCAAAGAAGTTATGAAGTATAGAAACAATTCAAAAAAGTTATGAAGTATAGAAACAATTCAAATAAGTTATGAAGTATAAAAACAATTCAAAAAAGTTATGAAGTATAGAAGCAATTCAGAAAATATTATAAAGATAATAACCTTTGATCACAATTTCATATCTTTAATTGAATTCGAAAACCATTGAAGAAAAGATAAAACTCTTAATGTATCCTAACATAAACAATCTAAGTGATCTGATGAAAACGACTATAATTCCCAATATCCTTTATTGATTTACATGTGCGTTTATAAATGACAATGACATTTTCAACTAAAGATAAGGTTCATCAAAAAACACCTATAACAAACAGATACATAAAGTTCACTAATGACTATTAATAATGGAAAGTTAAGCATGCAAGAACATCAACAACGTGTAATCGTTATGTGAAAATATCAGTTATCTTAGCATGATGAAAATGGAAATCCCAAAAATAGTCAAACATGGAAATCCCCTTCAAATATTGTGACCATCACACTAAAATGCTCATATAACAGAATACCTCTACAAACATAAGACCTGTGCATTGATAAGATTACCTTGTATTCCAAAGTTTTTGAGTAAGTTCAAGATGTAAATGTGAAAAGCTTGGGAATACATGATTAAGAACACATCTTCAAGTTGGCGGATCTCCATCGCACATGTCATTACTGTTGCTTTAAACAAAGAAATACCTAAGTACTAACTAACTAATCCAACTAATGTTTGATTTAGCTAGAAATAGAAATCACCTGGAATCCAACCAATGTTCGATTTAGCTAGAGATAGGAATCTCCTGGAATCCAGCCAATGTTCGATTTAGCTGGAGATAGAAATCTCCTGGAATCCAGCCAATGGCCGATTTAGCTAGAGATGGAAATTCCCTGGAATTCAGCCAATAATCGATTCAGCTAGCGAATCGAGACCTCCTGGAATCCAGCCAATATTCGATTTAATTATAAATAGAAATCGCCTGTAATCCAGCCAATATTCGATTTAATTAGAAATAGAAATCGCCTGGAATCCAGCCAAAGTTCGATTTAGCTAGAGATAGGAATCTTCTGGAATCCAGCCAATGGCCGATTTAGCTAGAGATAGGAATCTTCGGGAACCCAGCCAATGGCCGATTTAGCTAGAGATAGAAATTCCCTGGAATCCAGCCAATAATCGATTCA